GAAAGAGTGACGGGCAGCAGAAATCTATTTCCTTTTCAATTTCATACACGGGCGTTGTTCCTAAGAGGCAGTGAGGTGTGTTCTGGGGCTGGGGTGCAAATGCTGGGATCAGGCCCTGCCAGCCTCGCAGGCTGCTGGTGGAGGCAGCGCATGGGCTGTGACAGGCTCCTAGGGAGTGCACCCAGGGCCAGCCTGACGGCAGGCTGAAGCCCAGCGCTCAGGGAAGGTTTGATCTGAACGTCTCACGACATATTTCCCATCACGGTCGCTACAACCAAGGTCTGGTCTCTAACCAAGCCCCAAACCTACCTGGATGCAGAAAAGAGCTCTGTGGTGGCCGAGGAGGAACCAACAGCCCGAGCCAGCACTAGCAACCTCTAAGGCTGAGCTGGGGAGATGAGGCCCCCACCCCCTCCCCACTTTCCCCTCCAAACACCAGTCTCTGAGTCAGGAGGACAGGAGGCACCTTTGAGACAAATCTTTCCCTTGACCCCTCTTCCTGGAGAGGAGAGCATCCCTTCTGTACCTGAGCCCCTTCCCTCCCAGCCACGCTTACGGTGCTGTGGCCCACTTGCCCACGGTGACCACAGTGTGACCCTGGTCCTGGAATGTCCAGCACAATAGGAGTGGCAGAAGGAGCCCTTTGCCTCTGTCAGCAGAGGCTGATTGGTTACAAGGTGCCCTACAAACACACTGTCAGCAGAATCAGCTGTTTTCAGCGTTGCCCCTCCCGACTTTACAATCACACGCCAGCATGCAGCCCAGGGTTGTCATGGCTTTGTCTTCCTCATGCATGCTTAATTGACAATTAAGTTGAGTCTTTGAACCAGCCTGGCTGCCTCTGATGGGGCTTCATCTTTCCAGTGAGTGTCACAGGGGCACCCTTTGTTTGCTCTTCTTGGGGGCCTGGAGTTACTGTAGCAGGCTGCGGGCAGCCATTTATCTTCAGCCGGGAAGGCCTTTATCTGCACCCCCCATCCAAGCTCTCGCCAGCAGGAGCTGTCCCTGGTTATAGGCCCTGTGACAGCCCATTCTGAGGCCATTGAGCAGGCCCGGAGTGATGGCCCCGACCTCCATTCTGAAGCGGAATCAAGAGAAAGGCCCCCCCCCCCCAAAGGTCAGAGAGCAGGGCTGTGGCCAGGAAGCAGACTGGTTGGAGACTGGTGCCTGTATTGATCAGCCCGAGGAGGAGGAAGTTGGCATGGGATGGAAGCTGGGCTAGCCTTGGCCCAAGCCCTGGGATCGGCTGCACGATCTGCGGTGGCCTTGCATACTGTCCCCTTTGCTCCAGTCTGTGGCAAACTCGCCTGGTCGCCTCCAGCAAACTCACCTGGCCGCCTTGCGACAGCAAGAGAGGGGCAGAGGTCTTCATCAGCCTTCATTCACCCCACACCTAATGTCCTCCCTCTTGTAATGTCCTCCCCTTCTCCTTTGAGAAGGAGATAGAGGCTCATTCTCCTAGTAAGAAAGTGAGGCCCAGAGGCGAGAACAAGCCCTACCAGGATAACCTTTGGATGTCCTGAGCCACACAGCCTGTTTACCCAAGAAGGGGAGACGTTTATTTCTGTGGCTGCTTTCTCCTCACTCCCTTCAAATTCTACTCCTGCCTCTCCAAGCCCAGGGGCTGTGATTGCCCCCATGGTCAGATCAGAGCTTGAGGACCTGAGAATCCAGCCTCTCCCCGAACCCCTCTTACTTCTCATCCTAACTTGCCTGCAGAAATCTAACCCTGGGTCTTAGACAAACCAGACTCTGGGCCAGGATATCATGTGGTCGCTGTGGTTTTCCCTGACACTGAAATCTGCAGAACCTAAGGAAATCTCAAAAGTGCCCAGTGGCGGGGTCGTGAGTAAATATGAATAATCAGAACAGTTAGTGCTGATCGAGCGCTTCCTGGGTACCAGGCCCTGGGCTGAGTACATGCATCATCTTACTTAATCCTCACAACTTTGTAGGGTAGACACCATCCATAACCTTACCCCTTACTTTACAATCAAGGAAGGTGAGATATTTCGTATGTCAGTAATTTGCCCAAGTTCATATAGTTTGTAAGTGGCAGAGACAGGTTTTGAGCTGTTACACACTGACTATCACTTTGCTTTATGCAGATGCTAAGGACTTTCAGGCATGAAAATCAACACACACACACACACACACACACACACACACACACACACAATCCTCCCACAGTTCCTTCTTCTCTTATATTCTTACTGTTCCCCTCTGAATGACAAAGGGGCTTTTCGAGGTGGGTTAAGGGTGGGGTCTCCCAGTCTGGCTAGTTTGCTGCTTCCGCCTCCCTCTCAGCCTCCCCCCCCCTCCCCCGCCCCTGTTCCCCGCCACCAACTGTTGCCCCTGACCAAGGTGGATTCTGTGCCCTGCCCAGGGAAGAAATCAAAGCCCCTTCTTTCACAACCCCATCGCCATCTGGGTGGGGATTTGAACTGCCCTTGCAGTCAGCACTGTCTGGAGCACTAAATGCCTTAACAACTTAATGGGGCTTCTGAGACAGTGCAGGCACCTCAGCTCACCTCTGGAGCCCCGCCCACTCCCTGGGCAGCAGACGAGTGGAGGGGGTTTATGAGGGCAGTTGTAAAAATATTCATCTCCGCAGCAAAGATCCCCACAGTAAATAAGCCCCATTGTCCCTAAGTAGTAGGTTCTTTGAGTTCAGAAGAGAAACAGATTCTGCCTTGAGTCATCTGCTATTTTAGAAAACACATTTATACTGATGTGGAGTT